CTTTTTATGTAAGTTCCATAATTAATTAATGGTCAGAAATTATTTCAAGGAAAATTGCATTGGATTCTTAATAGTGATTTAGACATTAGTGGTATTAGAAGATGTTTGTTGGGGCATCCCAGGAGGATGACTGAGGTGCTGGGTTTTTGTTTTTTTATGGTTTTTATTGTGTTTGTGGTTTTACTGTTGTTGTGAACCACCCAGAGTTGTGCTATAAGATGGGCAGCCATATGAATCTATTTATAAATAAATAAATAAATAAATTTTATTATCAATTATAAATATTTTAAAAGTATTATATTTTCATATACTTTACCTTTTGAAGAGGATTCATCTCCAGATATTGCCAAATTAGAATCTCCAGTTTTCTCATTTGCTGATGAAAAATGGATAGGGAATGAGGATGAGGAGTTTGCAATCAAGGGGCCCTAGAATGTAAAATAAAGAGTCTTGGGTCACCTTAAAGTTGAAACAAGTTATTATGTACACAAATGCAACCCACATAGACACACACTCATATATGCACACCAAATGAGCGAAAGAAAAAGAGGAATGAAATGCAAAGAACAAAGTCAATAATAATTACATGAAATATAGTTATCATTAAACTGGACAGTTAGCTTAAAATCTCGATCAGATGAAATTCTATAGACACCCTACTTACAGTAGCTTTGCTTTGGCTATTTTGCACCGTATATAATACTCTGCTAACCTCAGCGCCAGGACTTTCAGAAAGTGCTCTTTTTTCAGATTTCATCAGTTGATCATTTAACCTTGTTTCAGAAGATGGTGCAGATAATGAAAACAGTCGATGGTGATAAGGTATTCTATCCTCTGCTTTGGTTCCTTCATAGTCTTCCACATGGCTACTTTTTCTCAAAATACTTCTAGGTTGAGGAGATGGCTTCGAAAAATCATATAATGCAGGGATACTTATATTTTCAGCTGAGAAAAATATAAAGAATATAATTATTACCTAGTCTTAAAAATGTTCATTTAGGCTAAATTTAAACTCCACAAATGCTGTATTCAAGTCAGCTATAGTCAAATATAGTTTCAAATATCTGCCAATATGTATCCAAAAGGATGTTATATTCTGGGACTTTCTGATAGATATGAGCTTGTGTTTGTTTCTAAAATTCACTGCTTTCTATCAGCAGACAGGCCTCGTTTGAAACTCATTAACAAGAATTTTAGAAGTAATGTCTACAATAGCACGTTAGTCTGCAATTCAGATAAACCATCTGTTCCTCATTGTAATGTTCCCCATTGTTCCTGAAATATTGGGTAAAACTTCAGCAGCCACACAAAAGAAAAAACAATTCTACAATCCTACATGACAAAACTATGAGCATGCTTAAGTGAGCTCCCTGGATCCTGGTCACCCTTCTGGTAATCCCAGAACTAGTTTAACAAAATTAAACACTACCTGGTGGGCATGTGTGCTTGCTCCCCTCTTCACAGCCATAAATAATTATTTTTGTCTCCCTAAAGATCCCTAAAAATTAGGTACTAATATACTGCTATCTATACAGGCTAATAATGCTACCACATCGTGGCACAACCATTCAGACTTAAGCAAGGCTATTGGGGAACTTCCTTAGTCCATCTCACCTCACTAGATAGGTTCTCTTCCACCCTAAGAAGACAAATTAATGATGATTTGGGATACTGTGGCGTTACCTTGTCAGTACTACCTGCTTTGGGGCTTGATAAAAGTCTGCTTGACATGTAAAAAACCTCAAAAGTACTGGAAAGGCATACATACTGTAGTATAAGGCAGAAAATCTTAAAATTTAAATTTAAAATGAAACCACAACTTTTCTTACTAGGTATAACCTTAAAAGAAACATAATAATTTAATGATATATATGCTTACAGCAGTGGGAATAAATTTTGCTCAACATTGGAAGAAAGACACAATTCCAACAATATCTGATTGGGAACTTAAACTTGGAGAATACATAGCAATGCAAAATTAATGCTATATATACACAATAGAAGTTTAACTAAATTTGAACAAGAATGGTTCTCATACATACAACACATCACCCAGCGTAGCAAATATAATCTCTTACCGTCTGGCTTCTAAAGGGGCCTAAACATCTACAAATATTAAAAATTAGCAGATGTATAAAAAGGGGGAAGTCAGAAACCCAATAGTTTTTTTTATTTTCTTTTTCTTTTTTCATATCTTTTGGAATTTTAATTCTTGTGACATTTGCTTTGTTTATCAATGGTCAGAAATTATTTCAAGGAAAATT